TTTGACTCTCCTCTCTCGTATTCTTCATGTTTCTTTGAGTGCCAACAAAAGCCAGACACGACTCCGTTCCCTTCAAGTACTGTATGCTTTAAGCGAGACGTACTTTGGATCAAAATAAATCCCCCGCAGCCTGAGTTTAAGCATTGCTTTGTTTTGGTACAGGGTTTACAGAGACTGAAGCCAAACTAGTCAAAGCAGTGAATGAAAGAAATCAAGTAGCACATTTATTCTGCGCATAATATCGACATTTTTTTTCATGAGCTCCCCCCCACCCATCCCCCGCCGTGTGAACAAGTATCAAAAAGATGAGAGCAGCACTTTAAATCCATCATGATGCAGGAGATTCAAAGAGTTCATTAAGAAAGTAGGACAGTTTTGGCTGAGGCTCCACAGTGACGCCGCCTTTATAACGGTGACATCATCGTTAACAGCTGAAGCCTTGTGTCGAACTGATAATCATCATCACACTGCTGTACGTTTAACTTCACAGGGAGGGCAAATTGGTCCCTGCATACACTAACAAGTAGTTCCTCGTGTGTGCATTGTCAGTTATTTTAGTACAGTCCCAATAATTGTCCAACACATTCGCTCCAGAGGGTTTCACCATCTGTTCAGCACTCTCTATTCTTAGACCTTTGGAGAACTTCCACCAGAAAGCTCCTTTCTTTACTCAGTCTGACTGCATTACATGATTTAAAATTGATCTTTTTTTTTTTACCTTAACTTTGTCTGTCGCAGCCCTAATACACCACCTGTATTAGCATTTTCCTTTTGGGTAGTTGGCCTCATTCGTATCAAACTTTCCAACGAGTTCAACCTTTTGGGAACTTTCCTTGCAGAGTGTTATGTAATACCACACTTATATTTATGCATAAAATGTCAAGCTGGAGCCAGGAGATGATTAGTTAAGCTCAGCATAAAGACCTGCGATGGGGGAAAACTGAGCGGCAACTATCAAGGCTTGAGGCTGAAGCCAGTGCAGGCGCTTAGTGAACAGAGTCTAGGACTGTATCAGAGATGACACTGGGTGAAACCTGGTCCTCCTGGTGTCCATTATTAACGTCTGTATTACAACTTTTACACAATATGTCACCATGTACCATAGGTAACAATATACTGTATATACAAGGCTGGTGCTACCACTTATGTCATTTAATATTCTCTTAATATCCATTCATTTTTTAGGGTTTTTCCCCCTATTCGTACTAAACTCTATCTCTCTGATCCATCTAGTTGGATCTAAGCGATCGAAGGCATGTTGACAAAAGTGCAAACATTCACATTCCCAATGCTAACTTTGTACTACTTTAAAAGGGCAGCTGGTGACCTGGTGGCTGTTAGACGCTGACAGAATATTATAGTAGTGCGATACCAAATAGGCAGTACGTCAATGGTCAAAGCCAGCTGCTGACTCACGTTGTAGGACGACTGTGTTTAGGACCCTTTAACGATTTCTGAGCAGCCACTACTCCTTCTTCAAAATACAACAGTCACAGCAAGTCACTAGTTTTTTTTTTTTTTACCATGTCATTATGATCTCAGTTGCTAAATTCAGGCCCTGTCAGTGTGCTTAGTGGACATTTTGGTAATTACTGCTCCATTAATACGATGTCAAGGCTTATAGAAGGCTTTGATGTCAGCCGTGTGGCTGGTGATTGACAGCTGTGATTGACAGCTGGCCTGCCTGCTGCTCTGCCTGGCTTCTGAAATCACCCTGTGATAATGTAGCTAAAGTACGTAGCAGTCTAAAAAGGTTTGGAAGGTCTTGGCTGTAAATGGAAAGATGGTGCCAACAGAATAAATTTGAACTCTGGGCTACAAACTGCCTCCAATGCAAAGCGATGGATGTCACTGTATCTCACTCTGTCAGTCTTAATATACAGTCAGTGGAGGAAGCGGTTCGGGTGATAGAGGCTGTTAATTGGTGAGCTTTAAAGGTGGAATGCAGTTGCTGTCAGGCCTGCTGCTCCCTGCCTGCCCACAGTCTTAGTGCTAAGTTATCTGGTTGCAGGCTGTATCTTTACATTGACACTGCAGGCACAGTTGTGTCATCATTGTTCCCATCTAACTGTAACTAAAAATGTCAAAATATTCCTTTAGCATTAAGCGTAAATAAGTACAGTCATGACTCGATAATCTGACACTAAATGTAAAACCTTCTTTTATGTCGGATAGTAAGGCTGTCGGATTGTCAAGACAGAGGTGAGGAGGGCTTGATGCTTGAAGGGTCATTTGTTGTTAATTATTGTTGTTCTAATAACCAGTAGGGTTGGTCCGAATAGCACTTTCTGGTCTCTGGATATTCAGGCCCAATCAATGATGAATATCAGAATATTCGGCGAGGTCAGGGGGGACACTTTCATCCCGACAGAAGGAAGTGTCCGGGACGCACAGGCAGTACTGGCTAAGGTGACATCGTCGTGTCCTCTTTTGCACATGCGGGACACTTTTGGGTCGTATGAAGTTCACCCAGGAAATCACTTACAAGTCACATTTAATTAGAAATATGAACGAACTTGCAAAAAAATCTGATTTTCGAATTGATCATTAAGTCCTGCAGTCTGAACATAGCCAATCTGTCGGATTACTAAATCAGATAATACGCTGTTATTCTTATTCATGGCATAAAATGTCATGTTGGAGTCGGAATCCAATGTTGTCGGTATGTTAAGGCTATTTTTCATGGGTTCTGTTCGTTTTTCCTAAAAACCTGTCTGATAGCAAGGTTTTCGGATTGTTAAGGGTCGGATTATCAAGTCACGACTGTACTCAGATGTCCTGCCAACAACAGTCTTGATAACTTTTTGAACCTTTAAGCCACATGAACAAGAAGTCCTTAGTGTACAATGGAACTTTAAACAAGTGGGCAACTACATCTGCTGGAAAAGATTATGTGATAAGATCAAAAGCTCCAGAAGAGCTACTGCACCAGCATTGTTTTGTCAGTGGCACAGTTAAGTTGGAATACACAAACATGGCCCATACCTATATTTATATTTGACAATGATCCAAAAATTCAGACAGTCTAGATAAACTGACAACTGTGACAAATAGGTATCACACTGACACAATAACCTTGAGAATGCACTGGATAGGAACCCAGCAGGCTGGGAACCCTCAGCTCCTCCACATGACTTTGTTTCCTCCTTGCTACACACCGTAGTGATTGTTTCAGTAACCACGTTAATGATCAGGCTACTGATAGCATCTTTCATCACTTTGGTAATTTTTGTCAGACTCCTCCAGATCCTCTATTCAATTGTTTTCAAAAATAAATTCTCTGGTAAACTAACTGACATACACAATTGATGGAATACATTTCCCATAATCCATCGAAATAACTGTACCGTCCTGGTAAATGCCCATCTAGTCAGCCTCCACAGCTCCAGTTTGGATGCATTTTGTTCTGAATTTGAAGAACAAAACTACATTATCAGGAGTTTTTTATTTCTTTTTCAAGCTTTGAAAAGCTCCGTGCAGAGGTACAGGAGATATTCTACAACTGTTGTCACAAACCGAGTAGAGCTAATCGTGTAAAATTGGTGATGCGTCCTGTAGACCACAATAAAGGTCCCCATATAAAGAGGGAGCTATAACATTTGCATACACTATCATGTTATAGTAGCTGGTCAATTACACAAGGATACAAAGCATTCAATTCCCTTTAGTTCACCTCTTCACCAGCTAAGAGAAAGGCTATGTGCACACAATGCCTGGAGTAGTGAAATGCTTTGGGATGGTGCTCGATTGGATCAGTTCCGCTGTCTGACGCAATCTACCCTAACCTTTACAACAAATTACACTACAGTGTCCCTCTGCACCCCTCTGGCTGATACAATCGAGTATCCCCCTGTGCTTTGTGACCGCAATGATAGAATAAATATGCAAGGCTTAATATGCAAGCTATTATATGAGTAGCCTTTTGGGTTCTTCACATGTGGTAACTAACTATATACTGTGTATAAAAGTTGACATATACTCTGGGTCTGAAAAATGAGGTGCTTCAAACTTGCATTTTCTCTAACAGCCAGCAGGGGGCGACTCCTCCAAAAAACTTCGGATTGTACAGAAGTCTATGAGAAAATTTGCCAACTTCAAACCTAATCCATTACATCAGTAAACATTTTCCTGATTACTTTATGGGGTCAACCTTTAGTTTCAAGACTTTCTGAATACAGAATGATGCTAATTTTGTAAATTAGACTAAGACTGACTTTAATAATCCCAGAGGGAAATTCTGTTTTCCCTCTGGGATTAATAAAGTCGGTGAAGTCAATGAAGAGTTCATTTGCAAAAACAGATAACTCCATCTTCACAAACCTTCAGAAAACCTACTTTTTCATCGTCTATCTGAGACAATATCAATCAAACTTATGCTATATCTATTTTTGTCATGTTATTTCTACCGAGTCAAATCCACTCAGTTTGATTCATATTATTTCAAGCAAACAACAAAAAAATGAGTGTTCTGAAAATCTACAAAAATTGAGTTATCTTTTTGCAAACAAACTCTTCAAATAATAGTCCCTTATAAGGTAAAATAGACGATAAAGCAAAGTATGTTTACTAGTGGTGCCACCTTGTGATGGACAAAATGCTACCATATGGGCGTCCGTAGTATCAATGAGCTCTCAGTCAGATCCAGACTCGCTGATGTCCCAGTGTTGCACTGATATCTGATTTTCATGAGACAGTCGCATACGTTTGTAATTCATGAGAGCACTGTACTTTGTTTAATCTTGTAGATCCTCGATATTATTTCTTGACAGAAGAAAGAGAGCATACACAATAAAAATCTATGAATCAGGCTCGAATTATTTAGGTTTCTGTCACTTTTATCACATGAAATGTCCTTTAAACAGTGGATTTCCTTCCAAGGCTGGAGGTTGCCTTGTATGGGCTTAGATAAGGAAGGTCAAGGAACCTTTCAGCTGTCATTTGAGGCTTCACAGTGTGTCTGTGTTAAACAGAAAAATGCAATGAAAGAAGGCAAACCTTACCTATATCGTGTGGTATTGTGCCATATGGTCCCTCGGAAATGCCTCAAGGCCACACATTCACACCCAAATAGCAAGATGAAGAATCAGGCTCTGGATGGAAAATAAAAGAGAACGCTGTTAAGACCAACATCCTAAAATAATATTTGGCATTACCACCTTGAATTGAACGTGAAGTGCAGAATAAACAGCGGCCGTGTGAGGCCACATGTAACTGCTGGAGAACATTACACTGAATCAGACTCTGTGTATTAAGGAATTACACAACATATTCTACAGATTTGACTATGCGAATAACTCTGCTTTGTGACAGGGGTCTGAAATAAGGCACAGCACAGGTGTTATTACACATATTTGCTGGGAGCCAATCACGCCGTTAAGCCATGAAACCTTTTACAATTCAGGCAACGCTATTATGATTTATAAGGAATTATCTGCTTCTCAAACAAAAGCTTATAAAAATCTCCTTAAAGCACAGTGTAGGAGGGGGAAGATTAGATTGGTTTATGGAAAATTATTGAAATAGAGCACAACGGGGTGTTTGTGCGGGACCCTGGCTCCCGAGTGACATTATAATCTCGGCAATGACTTAACACACATTATTTGTCTCTTTTCCCTCTTTTTTTTTTTTTTTTTTTCCTGTGGCCGGTCGTCCCTACAGGCTCTTTTCCGGTCTAAGCACACTGTCTGGGAGCTGCGTTCTTTGTTTGCTTTGCAAATATGTGTGGGAGGAAGTGTGTGGGTGTGTATGCATACATGTCTGCTAATATGTTCGATATCAGTCTCAAGTACGAGCCGCTGTACAAACGATCCGGTTTATTTACATGCAACAAATGTTCTTGCAAGAAAAGGAACATGTGTTTCCTGTAAGTGACGAGTGAGGGTGGTAGTCTTTTACTGGTGTAAAGGAAATGAATGCCAGCCCACTCCTTTGTTGTTCCTCTGGTAATAGTAAACATCTTTACTTTCCCCTCAATGCTCATCCTTCTAAGGGTGCCACTTCTCTCATCTGCTTGCCCTCCCACGCTAGAACCACATGATGCAGCCTTTCTAGTTGATTCTGCCATTAACCGACTCCCTTTAATGCACATTCACAAACCTGCACCCCTGTTCCCTTCATGCCTCCCTCTGGGGACTCATGACACACCTCGTTCCCTCAGTTCAGATTCATTGCAGTGTTTTTCCTGCCCACCCTTCCCTTGCGATCTTAACAGAGGATGTCAATCTGATGAGTGGGTAACTCGCAAGCACACCCCCAATGGTGCTTTGATTTCTAGGGCAGGTCTCGCTCATAAACAGTTTTCAGGCGAGCAGGGGACCGTACAAAAGGAACAACCTAAGCCTCAGTTTTTTAGCAGATCCCAGGCTGGGCTTTGCCTGTCAATCGCAGCGTTATCGGCAGCAACACAGGAAGCAACACGTGCTCGCCTAAGAGAATTGAACTCTGCTCAAACCGTCTCTGATTGGAATATTTAAGGTAAAAGGATCGGAGAAGGTGGAAGGCAGGTTGATGCAAATCATTAAAGATTTCCCCATTCATGAAGTCATTATTAGCTTTTAAAGCGTAGCTGCCAGAGAATGCAAACAGCACATTATTGACCCGCTGTCATTAGCTTTCTTCACTCAAATCCCATTTAAAGACACTGCTTAGAGCAATAGCCCGCTGCGATGCACATTCAAGCTCACGAAATGACTGAGGGAATTGAGACTTTAAAAGATGCCAAGAGAGAGCAGTTTCATTATAACACAACAAGCCTATTAATAATATTCATAATGCATTTTAAATCTGTTGGCTCCTGTTTCTTTGTGTCAGACATCATCAATTTGATCTTTAAGTGGTTCATTTACAAATATGAACTTAATCTGAATGTCAAATCAGCGGCTTAATGAAATGGTGGTGTAGTAAAACACTGAGGGGACATCCTGTTTTAGCAGATGAAATCAAATCCAGAGAGCCTGAAGGGTTACAGGCAAGACGGAGAGCAATTCAGGGTCATAAGTGCTCAAGGAATCAATGCGCTGCCATTAGAATGTAGAACGGACTGCTTTCAGGGGGATGTGCACGCAATGTGTTAGCTGTAGTGGAGGTCGAGCCTCATTTAACGGGTAATGCTGGGTGTTGAAGTCGATATATTGCAGTCATACTTCTGCATTAAAATATTTCCAGTTGTGTTTAACCCTTTATTTGGAACTCCTTGAAATACCTGGAAAATGAACATTTTCAACCCAAGGGTGTTATTGAAGGATATTACAAGATATTTTTACTTTTGTGACTAAAAAAAAAGTTGCAAATCAAGATTCATAAAGGTACTATGTATGGTAACTTGTCTAAGGTTTAAAAAAAATGGAATTTATAATAAATAAAAGAAAAAGTAACAAACTGCAAAACATATATATTTAGAAACATTTTAGTTTGAGGTCATGATACTGACACAAGTGCTTGGCAAGTTCATTTAGTACAGGGGTCTCAAACTCGCGGCCCGGGGGCCAATTGCGGCCCGCGAAACGATATTTTGTGGCCCCCTACTTGACATCAAAGTTTAACATTAGCGCAGCCCCTGAATTTTTCTCACACGCACCTACGTGAGTCGTTGCCCTGGGCGTTTTATATTTATTATCACTTGTGGGCTACCATAGCTCAGGCTCGTAACAGCAAAGCGAATTAGCATCGTTAAGTCACTTGAAACGTGATTTGGGAGTGTCACCGAGTGGAGGGAAAATATGTCCTGTCACCCAGTTTTGTTTTGCTTTTTTCTATCTGTGTGAAAAGCTCTTCTCCACCATGAACCTGAATAAGTCAAAGTACAGGTCCAAACTTACTGATGAGCATCTTCAAGCCACACTGAGGGTCTCAAATGCTTTCTCCCTCAAGCAAAATGTGGCTCAGCTGTGTAAGAGGAAGCAAGGAGTAGGTAAGAGAAGCTTATGTTCTGAAGAACCTTTCATGTTCTGAATTGTTATTAATAAAGACTGAGAAGATTGGATCAGTTGTACTTTATCTGGAATACTTTATGCGGCCCAGCCTCACTCAGACTCTACCTCCAGCGGCCCCCGGGTAAGTCGAGTTTGAGACCCCTGATTTAGTCACATTTTTCTTGGGGTAGTGATATTAATGGCACTAATCTGAAAAAAATAAATTAGAACTCAATGCAAACCAGTAACAAAGCGTTTATAAAGTGCCTGGAACATTTGTTTAGTGGCATTTTTCCTAAGGTAGTGATGTTGGCACTAATATAAAAACTAAATCAAAGTGGCTCTTCACCCTCAAGGAGAGGCTCAGGGCGGACATATTGGATGTCAAAGGAAGTTACCAAATATGGTCACCTGCCCCATAAAGGGTTAAAGATAACTCTGTACATAAAGCTTTCTTTTCTTGCATTTACGGAGGGTTTTTTGTAGTCAAACATTAGTAACTGTAATATACAGAAAAATGCAGTTACTATCTATATTGTACATGTGGTATGGAAAAAAACAAACAGCTGGAAGACATCAGTAACTGCTAATGGACACACCGTTGAGTTTACAAAACTTACTCAGAGTAATAGTTCAAAACATTTCTGTCCTCTATATAGATGCTCTGTACACATAATACTCACATAGAAAAAGATTTCCCAAAGCTCAAACGGTTCAGAACCAACACAGCGTATTTGTGAGGTTTGTCAGACTTGGTTTCTGCTGAGCTGCTGGCTTGTTTCTAACAGGGAGGAACCCCAAAGATTGTTTATTGCCGACATGAGCACCCACTCTGCTGTAACCAACACGATCGTTTATGAAGATGTCTCACTCTGATCACTTTTTAACCATAGCTTTATAACAGTTTTTACCTTGAAATTAACTTCTGAACTTATTTGTAACTTTTTAACTAACGTATCACTCTTGGGAAATGATTAATGTCTTTGACCCAGAGACATGACAACCTGACTGGACGGTGCTGTCACTTGGCGCACTGATGGCAGGACATATGCCACACACACACACACATAAAAACAGTTTTTATGGAAAGGTCATGGTTTGATTTAGAATAAACACTTGTCGAATGTCATTCTTAAAACAAAATTTCAGTTCAGATCAGTTTAAACCAGATAGAGAGCAGTCTCACCATTCAGGTCCAGTGTTCTGTCAACCCGTCCATCTACCCCAACCTCCCTACGTGGACTCTGTGACTCTGTAAACTGTCAATTTGTCTATACCAGCTGCTTCTTTTGTCTCGATATGTTGCGTTTTTATTTTAGGGAGGTTATAAAGTGTCATCTCCTGTTTTATAGCCGGCAATTTGGAACTATTTATAATACATGAGAAAGTAGGGATCGACAGTCTTGCCGAAAGATACCTGGTCAAGACATGAATGAATGACCATGATTATTATTGGTAAATCCTGTTCAATGAACATGTACTGGGGGGAAAAAAAAGAAAAAATCTACATTATTTAAGGTCTCTGATAATGACCCCAGTTTTTTTTTAAATACATCCTAACCATAAAACGAAAGCAAGTCTACTTTAGTGTCAGTATGACCATATCCTGTTATTATTTATATACAAGGCGACCTCCTGAAATGCCGTGCTACACCTCAGTATAACAACCTATTAAAAGAAATAAATCCATTTTCTTTTGCTTCTCTTGAAAAAAAATCACTTCGATGAGTTGATGTTTGGCGGAACAGATTGTCTTCTGCCAGACAACTACAGATTGATGAAGATTTTAATCAAGTGTTCTGCTTGTGTCAAACCCTAGATACAGATTACTGATTGACATTTAAACCAGGAAGAACAGAGAGTCCTGGTCCCATCTCTGACAACAAGCACAGGATGTACAGGTAAACCTTAAGCAAGTTGTAGTATGTACACCCACAATAGGTCCTAAATCTTGTTTACCACATCTGTCGACTTGGGGAAGAAATATGTTAGTTATTTAAAACATGGAGCTGGGAACCATAATACTTAACATTATAATGAACATGTTCACTTTAGTTTGAGTGTGTGTAATAATCCACTGCTGAAAATAGTCTCCAACAAATACACTATTTCCTGCTGTTCGAGTCACATTTGTTAAAACTGTCCAGCTTTATTTTGAACAGATTGTTGATTTGTTTCGATTTGCTCAGAACAATTTCACAAAATTGTCTTTCAATTGCAGCAGCAGAAGTCAGAAAAAGCAAACAGACGGAAGGATGGGGCGAAAAAGAAGTGAAATGAAGCAAAAAGGAATGATCTGAAAAGAACACATGGACGGAATCAGAATAAAAGTTGCACAACACTAACACTCACCTCTGTTTTACTGCATTATTTCAAATATATATATATACACACACACATATATGTATTTCCATTTTATATATTCCCTTCAGCCTGCTAGTCCACTCTTACAAAAATCGTGTCCTCATTAACACCGTGCCAGGTTACTATTAGACTATTCTTTGCCATAAGCAAAATAATATTTAATCAACATGAATGCCTACGGTCTTCAGGGATTACTGCCAGTACAGCAGTCTCAGGATTCTTTTCCAGGAATATCTCCAACACATTATTTATAAAAAGAACAACTTCAGTTCACAACATCATCACCCTGGGACATGACCAAAATACATGCAAGTAGTTTGCAGATTTGTTCCTCTAGCAGGCTCCTGTTAGCTTTGGGTTTATTTTTACCGCTCAGCTTCCCACTGGGATGCTTTCCAAGTAATTGCAATAGTAGGTAAATGAGTGTTCGCACATTCCTCCTGTATTCTTTTTTTTTTAATATGTTCTCCAAGCTGAGTTTCCCATTTGTTTTTAATTTGCATAGTGGGGTCTTGTGCCATGTGCTTGGCTTTTCTTTCTGTTTTTTTAATGTGAAAATGTAAATTCGTGGCTCTTTTTTAAAGATTCGTTTGCAGAACATGGGTAGAGCAGAAACACATTTGTGATTTTAGTCTTTTCAGATGATTAACTGATATTTATTTATTGATTAACGAGAGAACTATAAAGTTATGCCTGCCTTTACCTATAAACTTCATTTAAAAAATTGCTTTTTAGTAGAAATTAAACTTGTGGCATTCAGGCTATGAAGCCACTGAATGAAAACAGTACAAAAAATATTGTTGTATTAATACACTAATGTTGAGAAATTGAGAAAACTGACGCAGCTATTAGAGTCTAATGGGTAAAGTGCCTCTCCAGTCATGGATTTACCCCCTGAAAGCTCAGCTCAGTGTATCAGAGTTAGATATTTACACTTTGATTTTATAATAAATTAGCACCTTAATTAGTCAAAGAGCTTATAAGTCATTTCATTGATAAACGTCAGCAGACTGAGGATTATTAAAAATAATAATATTCTCAGCTTGTATCTATTATTCAGCTGTTTCAGTAGAATTCATGAAGTGTTTAAAGGCAAAGAAGCAAACACTGAGTAATTTATACAGTATCAAGGCAGTGTCAAGATGGTTGGCTTTTCAGAAAAAGACCATCAAGGTGCGGTATTTTTATTTGATTTTTAAGATCAGTTATCAAAACACTCCTACTTGTAGCACATAGTAAATAAGACAGGTTTTTTTCCTCTCTCTCTCTTTCTTTCCAGGAAAACATTGTTCACTCATGAGGCTGTAAACGATGGCTGCTGGCAGCTGGCTGCCTCTTTGGATTCTGGCTCAAACGCCAACAACACAGTGTTGGTGTTTTATTCACCCGAGACTGCAGCTTCCTTCAACTTAATAGCCAGTTCACACCAAAAGAGACCACAAAACATGTTGTCATCCACATTCTGTGTCTTTGAGTCATTAGCAGCTGGCTCACGCGCAGCTTCAAAAGCAGAAAACGCGAACAACCTCTTCTTCGAGGGCCCGCCGCCTTATGCGTGTCAAAGTTTGGAGGCGAGAAGACAAACGTGGGTCTCAACGACAAGGCAGGTTTCCCCACTGCAACAGCGTCCAACACTGCACCTCCCGTGGTGAAGCATAATCACATTTTCCACAAGGGTGGTTCTAGTGCCCGTGAGAAAAGGGTTTATCGAATTCACACACATTGTCATTATGCAGTCCGTGCGGTTTCCCCTCCGTGTCTGTGACCACTCATCCAGCCTGTGCAGTTTAAAGAGCATCAAAGCTAAGGAACACACACTCACTTGTCATTACACTCAGAGTGCTGGAGATAACACACTGAAAGAAAATTACAAGGTAGGTGAGGAATGAGTGCTGAATTGTATCGGTCTGCTTTTGAGCGCGCGGAGATCTAGTGTTGAATCCTTGAAGTAAGAATCTAAAACATTTGATGCTATTTTTCTCCTGCCGCTAGTTCATATATCATAACAGTGATTATATATACTCCACAAACCATCTTAAAACCTTTTTTTATAAATTGTACCTGTCAAACGCCTGACTGCTTTTATTAAGCTGTTGTCATCTCAGCCTTCTGAAAGCGTTTTTATAGTGTTTCCGTTATATGCAGTGTAGCCACTTATAACTTCCATGAACTTGGTGGAGAGGAAGTAAAAGAATATGTCTGAGAGTTTATAGCCATGCCAGCAGCTCTTTGGGGATGTATGTACGGGTAGAAATAAATGCTAACATGCTAACAATGACAGTGCAAGCATGCCAATGTTCAGCATGTATTATGTAAAGTCAGGAGGATTCATCCTCTGGGGATCATGAAGACAATTGTATATCTAGTTATCTATTTCATTCTAGAGCCAAGTGCTGGACCACAACTCAATTGTGTCCCATTGTTCTCAATTGCTAAGCGCAGCGTGATTGAAACTAACTTTTATTTTCCAGGAATGTATGTATCAGGCATTCATCTACCACCTAAACCTCCACACTCTCTCTCTGTCAGTACATCTTGATACTAGGATGAGTAACTGGTGACACCTGAGGAATTTCTTTGTCGTGTGAGAGTAAAAATTTAAGCTTCACAATAAATTGTTTGGTTACAAACGCTCAATAAATGTGGAGAGAATATGTAGATTCTTCCTCCAAGGCCTCAGTGATGTGTTAAATGTGTGTACCTTTGCCCTGGCTTTCACAGTCACCACATCCCAAACCAGCTGATCACCAGTGAGAGGCAGCTCTACCGACATCATTTAAACACTAAATGAGGGACTCTCTGAGAGCGATGGTCCTTATCCTTCTGATAGAGTTGCAAAAACTGTGAGAATCTATGACAAAGAGCATTGAGGCTCTACTATAGGCTTGTGGTAACCCAGCACCTTACCAAGACAGTTCATGTTGCTTTTTTTGAATGGAAACTCTGTTAAATCTACAAAATGTCATCACAAAAATGCACAAACCACAAGAGTTGCAGAGTCAGAATCAAAAATGGATGTTGGGTACGACAGCTGATCTTCAATCTCGTGTAGTTTATCATATTTGACCAAAACCAATGCGACAGCTTGAATGTCTTATGACGTCCTGACAAAAAGACAAACGTCTTCAAATTTGTCACATTGTACGATAACTTTCACATGTTCATGGCGTTGACTAGTAGGATCAAAGAGTGCTCCTTTGCACATCACACGGCAAAGTAAAGGATGGGCTAAAGCATAAGCAACCCATGCTATCCTCTTTGTGCAACCCGCAGATGGGTTAGTTTTTCTTTTATTTGTTTTTTATGAAAACATGACACCTAGTATTGTACACACCAGTTTGAAAAGCACTGTTCACATTCTTGTTTCTGGTAGTTT